ACAAAGTACGGCACTGACTTTATGGGGGCCCGTCGTAAAGAACAGCGCACGTCGTTGCATCGGGACGAGATGTAAACGCGTTCCTCGTTGATACCCTTCTTGTAACACAGCGGGCAATTATACGGGACGGGGTAGCTCGTCTCTCGCGGAGCATCTCATTATTTATTATCGATTCGCGGGATATACATCTTTCCTTTCTCGTTTTTCCCCCCTTTTTTACCGTAATAAATTGGAAGGCACACGCGCGCGCGCGCGTCCTGCTCTCAACATTTTCGTCATTATCGGACACGCGAGAGGCGATCGTCGCCTCGGCTCAAAGTGCCCCATAAAGAGTACAACGCTCCTTCGTAAACCCGCCAACTTGCCACTTAACCGCAAGGAAACACCGACTTCGGAACGATCGCGGAGTCCGTGCGACGCGATTTGCATCAGAAGATCGCTTTTCAAGGACGAGCGCGGTAAGTAGAACCGCTTTCCCGAGACATCCCGAAAAGCAAGCGACCGTCCTCTCACCGAACTCGCGTGAATGTACACACAGTCTGTCCCAGATACGATGAGACTGGTTCCATCAAAGTTCTTAACGCAGCGACATCTATGAGTGAATGATGGTAGGTGAATGTTCCACCCTTCATCTACTTAACCTCAACATTTGAGCGAATCCGGTTGATATTTCACTGTGGTTTGACATTTTATGTAAAGTCACATTGTGTACGTCGGTCGAAAAACCAACATGGAATATGTTTTAAATTGGGTAAAAGTGGTGCAGAAACGTACGAAACGCTAAAAAATGTGTACGGGGATGAATGCACGTCCCGTGCACAGGTTTTCCGTTGGTTCGGCCGATTCCGTGACGGTCGTGAGGACCTTGCAGACGATGACCGAGCACCGCCGCCAAAAACCACTCGCAATGAAGGAAACATCGAGAAAGTCAAAGAAATTCTTCGAAGCGATCGCTGTGTGTCTGCGAGACTCATCGAAGAGGAAACTGGGATACCGAAAAGCATAGTCTATCGAATTTTGACCGAAGATTTGGGCAAACGGAAGGTTGCACGATAATGCACCATCGCACAAAGCCATCATGGTACGCGAATTCTCGACCAAAAAAGGCATCATTGTTATCGATCATCCACCGTATTCACCTGATTTGACTCCGTGCGACTTCTGGCTATTTCCCAAACTGAAATTGCCGATGAAAGGAAATCGTTTCGATACCATCCCGGTCATCCAAAAGACTTCGACCGCCATACTAAAGGCCATTCCAGCCGATGAGTATAAAAAATGTTTCGAAAAATTTGTCGAACGTTTCCAGCGCTGTATTGACTCAGAAGGAGACTATTTTGAATAAACAAGAATAAAAAATCAAAATAATAAACGCTTTGTATTTTTTTTAGACCAGTCTCATTGGATCTGGGACAGACTGTGTACTTGACCGAAGAATCGCGCCGGCCGGCCGCCGGCGTCGAGCGACGAATGAGCCCGATTAAACGTGATCGAAGTTTCACACATTGCCAACCATGTGGCTCACGACTCGCCCCAGCGGGCCCTCATTCCGTGGCTCTCAACGACGCTGTCGTTATCTTAGTCCGCCGTATATTATCCCTGCGCAACGACAATGTTACGATAACGACACTCGCGTTAACTCTGACGGCGGTACACGCTCATTTTACGAGCTTGACTAATAGCGACCGCGCATCACGCCGAGCGATTGTTTCGAAATTCATTCAATCACTCTTCGTAACTCGCGATCATCGTCTCCTATTTTCTGGGTCTCGCAATCGGGGGGTTCAAAGTCGACAGAATCGACAACCGTACATTTTGCATACCGTGAGAATAACGGCACGCGTCTCCGTGACGCTCTGCGAGACGGGACGAAAGGCCGTTCCGAAATTGATTTCGGAAATTTTGACTTTGGTTATACGTTATTCGTAAGATTGGTAGATCCTAGTCCTTTATATCCTGATGATCCTACTTAAAAGTACCCCTCTATACAAGCGCTCATGTATTTTTAAACTTTTTTTCTCTGTGTCTTAGCTTACAAATACCACCTTAAAATTGAATCATTAAATTGTCACAAAATGTATTTTCCCACTTCTTATGTTTATGTAATAATATGCCAGAAGCTATTTAATTACACAAAAATTTATTAAGATCTTAAGTAAATTAATTCAGTGTATAAAGGGCTCAACTACACTAGAGAAAGAAATTTAGTATCTCTAACAAAACTGTTTAGTTGAGGCATTTTTTAACAGCAACCAAATAATATCTTGTTTTACATAACAAAATATTTAGTTGCCTCAATTAAATATATTTTTCTGCTTTGTTCTCTGGACCAAATGATTTTGTTCTTAGACTTCATATATAAAAATTAAGCGTTTTTATAGTTATTTTATTCCATAAAAATTACATAATAAAACGAAATATTATTTTACATAAACCAAAATAATGCCCAATGGATACTATTTTGCCTTTCTGTGCACTAAAATTTAGATTTTGTATATTAAGAAAAAATTATAGTATTTTTAACAAAATTCATATAGTTAAAGCTTTTTGGTTGCTCTAACAAAAGTATTACGTCATACGTAAACAAACCGTAATCAAACAAGATATTTGTTCACAGGAACTAAACAGTTTTGTCGGGCATATTTTAACCAAATTATTTTGTTGTTGCAACAAAATTTTGGTTCACGCAACAATACATCCTTCCTAGTGTAAGATACGTTCCGCAACTGGTCAGCTGATATCACACGCTTGGATGTTCACAGCCACGTATTGTTTCTGTTTACATGTCTGATTTTAGCTATTAATTTCGTAATATTAGATAGAGAAATGCATAACTCTTTTATTACTTATAATCGATTATTATTTTATTACTTATTATCGCATCCAAGTTCAAGGCTTACTAGCCTTATGACTAAAACCAAAGTTTCCGAAATCGATTTCGGAACCAACACCTAGAATCGGAAAATCCACGATCTTCCTGCGAAAAGACCCAAGTCAATCGGCCGATCGTGGGTGACTTCCCGTTAACGAAGAGACACAAAAGCGCTCACACACACACACACACACGCATAGCCACAGCCGACTCCGACGTGCCGACATTCGGCGCTCAGCTCGCGAAATCGAGCAGGCGCGCATAGGTGCACCTGCAAGTTATGTAAACCGCCGTTAGAGCACAAAGGGCCAACTTCCTCCGACGTAATACCCGCGGAAGTCCCGCGGCGTAAACACGCCGCGCGCGACCGGACGCGAATCGATCCTAGGCGACCTCGAAAGCACGCCGGGGCTTCCGCAGACATCCCGGAGACTACGCAGGCGGCCGCAGATGCTGCTATTCGACACGGATTGTGGGTCCGGTCCCTTCGGGCCGCTTGTCGGCAGGGCCGTTCTGGCCTCTCCTCGTGGTCCCGACCGGCGTTTTCTGTCAGTCGTCGGCGGACCGCGAAGCTACTCGGTCGACGGGGATATCGCGCCGCGTAAAAATCCACCTTCGGATTCGGTCACCTTCCAATCTCGCACGGGCTAGCCTTGATGCACGATCCATCGCGTCAAGATTGATCGCTCCGGTCACCGATGGACAGATAGAGAGTTTCGCACGCGACAGAGAGAGAGAGAGAGAGAGAGAGAGAGAGAGACAGTGGACAGAAGAGGCGGAGGAGGAGGACCCGGAGTTTCTCGCGGATGATGAAGATTGGCAACACGCTCATCGGCATAGAGCCGCGATCCGTCGAGCTGCATTCCGCGCCGGGAGGGTGCCGCCGAGCCGGGGTGGGCCCCGACGGGAGGTCGCGAGGCTGCTGGTACCGTGGCGCGAGGTCGGATTGTAAATAATGGGGACCGGCACGCGATACGACGCACGACTTTAGCGCGATCGAGCAAGTTAGTCTCGCGCGCGCGCATGCATTAATAAGTCCGCGTCGCGGGAGGGACAAAGGGAGTCCGGCCGGTTTTTCATCGAGTCGAGCATGCGTCGAGTCGCGCGGCGCAAAGAGCGGCCCCGCTTCTCGTTTTGCCAAACTGCTGGCTCCGTTGCGCTTCCGCGTCCGGGATGCGCGACGGTTTGCGGCCCGCGGCTCCATGTATTATTGATCAAAGCGCAGTGACGTGTTAATTTTCGAGTTCGCTCGCCGCGACGCGACGCCGCACGAGTTTCCGCGTGGGTGGCGTAAAAGTTGGAGACGAGACTCGAGCGCGAGAGGCGACTCCTCACGGCGAGTTGAGCCGCGGTGAAAAATTAAAGTGATCCGCCGACGCGACGAGAAGAAGCTGGCCGCTGCCGCTGCTCGTAACGCGCGGTGATCGATGAGAAACGGAGAGGGGAGGAACCCGCGATCTGAATTTCTCAGGACGCATCTATTAAGGTCTGACGTGGGACGAGAAATTGCGCCGTCGTGTGTGTGTGTGCTCGCTCGCTCGCTCGCTCGCTCGCTCGGTGTAACGCAATACGATAATGTAATAAGGGACTGCGAGGTACGTTTATAACGAAGCCGGTGATTGATACGACAACGACGACGCGCGTTTCCTTCTTCTCCGCGTAAAGCGTCCACGAAAGAGTCAGGGTGCGCTTCTTCCGAGGAACAGAGTCCGAAGGACAGAGTCGTCGGCGAGAGAACGCCGCGATATTATATTCCGCAAACTTTCCTCTGCCCGCGAGAACCCTGACAGTTCCCCCCCCCCCCCCCCGGCACTTTTGACAATCGCGCGCGACAGCTCCCCGCATTGCGAGGCGCGTCTTCAGCGTCCGAGAGTTTCGCGCCGCGACCGGCAAAGTGCAAATTGACACGTCGAGAGAGAGAGAGAGAGAGAGAGAGTTTCGGCGGCCGCACGCTCGCGCGGACATTTTGTCGGCTCGGCGAATCGACGCGTAACGCGGCGCGAAATTGAAAATCGATTCAAGACGCGTCCGCGCTCGTCCTCGGCGTCGCTTTTCCGACGATAACGCGAGCCGCGAGAGCCGCTACGCGCGTACCGCGCTGACAAGGCGCGTATAAAATCGACGATAGCGAACTGGACAGCCGCCAGTCTTGCGAGAGCCGTGCGCGAGAGCGGACGTCGCTCGTTTCAACGTCGATGCGCTGCCACGTGAGGGAAAAGCCAGGAGGAAAACTCGTTTGCACGCCGCCCCGATGAGAGACAACAACATTTTCTTCCCGTTTCTTCCCTCGCGTTGTGGGCCCTCGCCATCGCGTCGAGCGACGGAAACGCTGTGGTGAATTGCTCCGGAAATGTGTGGAAACGGAATCGCAACGGAGATCAGTCGCGGCCGGAGTACGCGGAGGTGTGCTTGACGAGAAATCCACGACGTTCCACCACCAGGTCGACGAGAGCTGCTGGATTTCTTCGCGCGTTCACGTCGTCGACGGCAACGAAATGGAAAAACGAGACTGACGAGAGCCGGGCCGAGATCGCAACGCCGCTCGCGACGTTTTCCGTCGAGTGCGAACCCACCCGCTGCTTAATCAACTCGCTTCGTTGACGACGAGCGACGAGAGAGGAAATAAAGGATCGATCTTGCTGCGACTTTGGAGCGACGGGAGGAGGTGAAGGATCGATTTCGCGAACGGAGCGAGGATAAATCAGGCATCTCTCGTCGTGATGCTGGGCTGCGCGACGCGACGCAACAAGACGAGACAATCGCGACTAACACCTAAGAGATATCCATGCTCTTCTTTCGATCAAGCGCGACGACATCGAGGCAACGCGAGCAATACGGAATTTCGCGGGTTCGCGCCGAGTAAACGCACACACGTTGTATCATCCATCTGAGTGTTAATCGCCCTCGCATTCACTCTGAATCGCGTCCCACAGGATCGAACGGGGCCGTGCACTCGAGAAGAGAGAGAGAGAGAGAGAGAGAGAGAGAGAGAGAGCTGGGGGAAACAGTGGAGAGAAAGAAGATCGTCAAAGGGGCCGCGAGAAGGAGTTAGACTCGAAGAGGAGCCGAGGATTCCTATTGAGCCTCGTAACATCTCGCGCGGGGAATCTCGCGCGGTTCTTCTCAAAGCTTCACGCCGGCGGATCCTCAAGGCACTTCCGCCAAGGTGTGAACACAGCTATTATGAGATCGCCGGCGGCGGGGCGGGAGCTCGGAGTAAACCGCGGGTAAAAAGTTGCGGTGCAGTCGCGCGGCCGGCCGAGCGACGAGAGCGATTCTTCTCCGCGAGCGTCCCGGAAGGATCCCCGGAAGGATCTCACTGCCGCGCGCACATATTCCAGCGCCGAAAGTTTCGCGCGGCCTGCTGCAACTGCCGGGAGGGGGAGAGAGAGAGAGAGAGAGAGTCCCCCCGCCGCGCCGCGCCGCGAGGAGGAGGAGGAAGGATCCCGCAAAGGCGCGGAAATCCTGTGCTCGCGAGTCCAACTCCAAAGTCCGTAATGCCGTGAAGTAAAAATCCGCTCCAGCGGAACAGCGTAAATCGTATCGGCCGGGGCATCGTCCTCGGAGCTCGCCGAAGGGGAAACTTCCGCGGGTCGCGCCAGCGCAATTTTCAGGATCTCGCTCCTCCGTCGTTATCCGCGCGTAAGAGCCGAACAACTGCCACAGGGAGTACACGCGAGGGAATACCGCCGCACCGGGTTCTCGCATTGTTAATTCACTCGTCCTGCGGAGGAGCGCGCGCGGCAGATCGCAATTCGTGACTGCGGCAAGCTCTCCGGAAAGGAGCCGTCGTAAGCCGCGCGCGATGCATCGGACACGAAGGATTCTGCAGAGGACGACGAGCGAGAAGACCCGGCGATCGTAGACGGAGGAGGAGGAGGAGGAAAAGGCATCAGGAAAACGAAGAGGAGGCGGAGGAGCAGGAAGTGAATAGGGAATTGCGAATAACAGGCAGAGGCGAGGAAACGCTCCAGGAATGCCGTGGATAAAGTGTTTGGGTGGTGGAGGCGGGAAGGCCAGGAGGGGCAAGCCACTCAGCGTCAGTCAACCGATCCACCTGCTTGTCAAGGTAAGATTCTCTCTCTCTCTCTCTCTCTCTCTGTCTCTCTCTCTCTTTCGAGACGTTTTCCGCGCGACTTTCTCGCGCGACGAATCCCGCGACGAATCCCGCGACGAGCCGAGCGAGAATTCAATGCTTCACACGTTATACGTTCGAGCGCGGTTCCTCGTCGTGGGCGAGGGGGGTGGGGTGGGGGGGGGCGGCAGAGGGAGGAAGCACAATCGCGCGCATCGGTTCGGCGCGAAAGAAGCAGGACGACACCTCGGCAGATTCCACCGAGCGAGGGATTCGTCAAATTCGAAAAAGGATCTCGCGGCATTCGAGCAACGCGCGCTTCCTCGGGTCCTGCGTCTCCCCTGCGAGGAATTGCGATCACGCGAGAGATCGTGATTTCTCGACGTTGACGGGACTCCTCCACGTGACGAAGTGGACGACTGACCGTTAAGTTAATCGCATTTGCTCGTGATAGTCGCGATAAACCGGGCGAACTCGAGCGGTACGACGCGTTCTCAGCGGCGCGCGGCGAGTAAGTTTTCCCGCTCGCTCGAGCGGACTCGAAGCGCTGAACTCTCGATGTGAGGTTATTACGGTTGAGCCTCGCAACAAGGCTGAGAACGAAAACTCTGTGTGATAATGGCCCGCTCGGTCCCGTTCGACACGCTGGCAGGCACATGGCCCTGCGCGCTCTTGCGGCTATTAATTTTTTTCAATGAGCAGCTCGAGTCGAGGGCGGGAAGGTATCCTGGTGGTGCCAGTCGCTGCTTTATTGGCACTTCATAATTATGACATATGGACGGAATGCGGAGCGCTCCTCTTATGACCGTGGAAAAACTTTGGCCGCTTCGATCTGCTCTCCCTCTCTCTCTCTCTCTCTCTCTCTCTCTCTCTCTCTCTCTCTCTCGACTCAGTCTCGCGCTCGAGAGAGGGAGGGTACGCGAGCGCGTTCCCGCGTAATTAAATGATTACAACTAACAGAGGGACGGGAGTCGCGACGATTGCAAAGTCGCTGCATCGGAGTTTGCGTTGTCTAATCTAAAGATAGCGGTCCGTAACGGCGCTCGCGACTGCCCCCGAGTTCCGAACGACATCGCGCTTCCCTTGGCTTGGAATCCGAGGGATACTCATCCCGAGAAAATAAAAACGCGACGAGAGATCCGCCGCGGGAGAACTTTTCCTCGTTAAACTCGAAACGCGACTCGATTCTCGAGACGCGAGTGACTATTCGACGCTCTGATTTCCATCGCGCGCGCACCGCGACGTTACATCACGCAACGTGCATTATTACATAATTGCATTTTGTACACTTAACGTGATATTTAGCATTACATAATATCGTATCGTTTGTTATCGAGCTTTACATAATATTATATAATTATTGATACATTGTTGGCCTCTCATTTAAAGCCGACTCGCTTATCCCCCGGAGTTCGATAATCCCGCACGTGTATAAATATTCATTGTTGATCGTCTCTCGTTCCGCGGCGGCCACCCGCTTACTTCCTCGTCTCTATCTCGATTACTCTCGCCACCCACACGAATATCCGAGAGTAAAAAATCCGAAATAAGGACGCTCATGAATCGCATCTCGACAGTGGGTAACGCGATACGAGAGAAAGCGTGAGAGAGGGGGGAGAGAGAGAGAGAGAGAGAGAGAGAGAGAGAGAGAGAGACTTGGAGGTGCGAGACTCCTCCTCATGGCGGCGATTATTAGGCAGAAGTTTCCTTCGTCGCGGGATGCCGTGAGATCGGGAGATACGAAAGATGACGGCGGGGCACCGCGCGCTGGCCAGCATCTCTCCTCCTCCGTCCGGGCGAGCTGATTTATTAATTCCCCCGCGTCTCTCGGCGTCTTTTCCCCGGTTCTGGGGCCTCTTTCGACGGACGCCCCGCGGCTCCGCGCCGGCGTCGATTCGACGATATCTCGGGCACGACCCAGTAATTAAGCCGGTAATAACATACGCGCTGTGTTAGCCACTCGTTAAGATTACAACGAGATCCGAGAGTCACGATACCGTCATGATACTCGTGAGGCCGCCGCTATTTTACGGTATTGTTTTACGGTATTGCGCCGCCAGGCGGAATCATCGGCGACATCGAGCGGCGATCGTGAATTAGTCTCGCGCCAAGCACGAGCACTCAGCGCGAGCGGATCTTCCACAAAGCGGCGGCGGCGGCGATCGACGCGAGTGTCTTTGCGCGAACGCTCGCTCTCCCGTTTGACGTGTCACTTATCTCGCGCCCAGTGGCGATAACGCAGCCGATATCCGATATAACGATACGCCGAGACGGGATAAATCGTAACGATCGATCGCTACCGCCTGGAGGAAATCCGATTCCAGCAATTATTTGAGGATCGATTACACGCGCTTTCGCGCTTTCGCGCGCACGCGCACCGGTGCCTCATGAGAACCGCTTACAATAATACACATCGATAGGTGGCATTTTTGTCCAAGTGGTCGGGTAAAATTACAACCCAGAGAAGAGCAAAAAGTGCTGGCCAGGCGGCACGGGACATTCGCGCGAAGAGCTCGCGTTTCAGGTTTCTGCTCTCTTGGCATAGCGCGTGTATCGAAGCGAGTTGTCGCGACGCCGACTTATTGCACGCGGACGTGAGCCGTCATTGCGAGATCGCTTAACGTCGTCGCGCCGAAAAACGAGTCGCCGGCTCGCGCGCGTTCCGATCGACCCGGATAATTTCCACGGCGCGGATAATTTATGAAAACGCGCGAGGCGCGCGCGCACGTCGCGTGCGCGCGAATTAATTCGCGCGCGATGCATTGCGCGATCAATTTACGTCACTCGCCACCGCGTATTTGCATGCCGGCGTTTACGACGGTTTTACAAACGAAACACGCGCGCGGACGCGCAAATCGCAAAAATACGCGCGCCGCTAATCGAGCGCGGCGGAATCATTTCGAAATCGCCGAGCGCTGCAGGTTTCGCCCGCCCGCCCGCCCGTCCTCCTCCTCCTCTCGTTTTAATTAATCTGAAATTTAGCGAGATCACCGCGGAGAGCGGTGAAATTCTACGCTTCTGCAGAAGCGTGCGCTCGTGCGGAGCCGATTTTCCGGAGCCGCAGCGCGAGATCGCAGTTTCACCGGCGCGAACGGAAGCACGCTGCGCGAGTTAAATCGCCGGTTCATGAGGAGCGGAAAAAGGAGAAGGAGTAAAACTACGACGGCCGTATTAAGAGTTGCCGCGGCAATTAAATAACACTGAGCCACCCGCGGCACCGCACACCGCGCGGTGTTTCCATTAAAGCGGCACTTTACACGCGATACGCGATATTCCGCGCTTACAATTACAAACGGAGCGCCGTTCCTATTGACGCAGAACGGCGTACGCGAACGCGAATTATCGGCGCGCGTGTATTAGTAACGCGCGCGAGCGGTTACATACGGTGGGACGTAAGCGCGACGGAAGTCGTGTGTCCTGGCGGAAAAATGCGCAGCGGTGCAACGGGAAGACTGCTTATCCTCCGCGCGCGTGCTCATCGATCCTTAATCCTCACGATAAATCAAGCCAACGGACTGAGCCGTCCAACGACGTCGGCGCTGCGCCTTTCCGCGAATGTGGAGCTCGCGCGACGCTCTTTCCGGCGCTCCTCTCTCGCGTTTATTCTCTCTCTCTCTCTCTCTCTCTCTCTCTCTCTCTCTCTCTCTCTCTCTCTCTCTCTCTCTCTCTCTCTCTCTCTCTCTCTCTCTCTCTCTCTCGGCGAATTTAACGCAGACAACGGCTATAAAAAGATATATGTATGTACACATATAAGGCCTCGATATAAATCCTGTTCAGGCGGCAACATAAGATAAACGTCTCCCAAGCGTCCCGGGCCGGACGAGTATCCCGGTATCCGACCATTTTGAGAAAAAAATGCTCACTATTTATTTTAACAACAATGAATGAAGTAATAATTGTTGTAAGAAAAAAAACTGCAAATCTGACGATTATTTGGAAGAAAAGTATACCCAATTTGAGACTTTTGTGTTAAAATAGAAATTAATTAAGTACGCATCTATGGTTCTTCGGCAAAGTAACGGTGAATCGTTAATAAATTCATGAAGAAACAGCGTCTATATTTATATTATTTCCCATTAGCACATACTAATTTTGCAATTGCGGTCAGACACGGGGACAAATATATCCGAACGTTGGGCCATAACCTATTTCAACTTTCTGACCACTGACTGACATTAATGCGCTTCGTTACTTGTGTAAATATTTTACCAATAACAGACATATACATTGGTTTAAATCAATTTTCTCTGCTCAAGGGAATCTTAAGTTTTCGAATAAATACGAATATTTGTATCAAAACTGTTTTTCATATTATATGTTGTATGTTGTTTGTGACGACCTACATTGAAACGTCCGGTTACTAGGACTTTTACCTTAACGGCCGAACGAGACACCCTGTAGAAGACACCCTGTAGAAGGGTCGCGCAGCGTCGCGCTATTAGACCGGCCTGTGGAGGAAGATCGTACGAGAGATACGCCCGAGACGAGAAAATGTTTTTCCCCTACGCATGTATCCGCCGGTGCTTTAAGGCCGGTCCGACCGGCGCGTCGGCGTTTCTGAACGCGCCGTGCGAGAGAGCTCATGAGAGCTCGAGAGAGAGAGAGAGAGAGAGAGAGAAAGAGAGCCGCTCTCTGTTATTATAACCGTACTATTATCAGTACCGGGACGCGCGGCGGCGGTACACCTGCGCGCACGTATGCGCGCGCGTACACGAAATATACCGCCCACCGGCGTGCGCGCTCCTTCGCGATGTAAAGACCGGCAATTAAATTAGCGGGCCCTCGGGGCTCGGCCGATTTTTCCCCGCCGCCCACTCCCGCACGCGGCGGCAACCCGGCTTCCTCGGGCCTTCGTCTCTCTCTCTCTCTCTCTCTCTCTCTCTCTCTCTCCCCCCCCCTCTCTCTCTCTCTCTCTCTTCCTCTCTCTCTCTCGGGGAGCTCTGTTTGTCTTTCGTCGATCGTTCGGTTCCGGGCCACACAGGCTCCGCATCCGG